GAGGAGGATGAGAATGAGGAGGAGGAGGAGGAGGAGGAGGAGGAGGAGGAGGAGGAGGGGGAAGCCGCTTGGGGCCTTTGGGAGGTTTCTTGGGCGAGCCGCCGGCGATCTCGGGGCTCCTCTTGGGGAGCGGAGGGCTCGACGCGTCAGTTTGGCGTGCCCCTCTTGGGGCCTTTTAGGACTCTTTCGGGCCGTCTTGGGCGCCTCCTGGGCCCTCTTGGCGGCGAGCGAGGAGGGGAAGCGAGAAGGGGCGGGCCTTCTCCGAAGGCTCGGAAGGCCCCATTCCCTCTTGAGAAGTGTTCTGGGCCTTCCCCGAAGGCACAGACGACTTCTCAGAAAGCGCGAGAGGTTCTGAGAAGTTTCGCCGCCTTCTGAGAAGGCATTCTTCTGCGCATTTCCCCCCTCGCTCGCTGCCAACTTCTTGGAACCCTCTTTGGCCGTCTTAGGGGCTTCTTGGGCCTCCTTGGAGCGGTCTTGAGGGCCTACTGGGCCGTCTTGCTAAACATGCACGCTTTAGACAGGGCGGCGTTTGCTTCTTGGGGCCCTCTTCGGAGTCATCTTGGAGTGCGTTGGCGAGCTCGAACCCCCCGCCACACCCCCGATTTCGGACCCTGGGGGACGGGGAGACTGGGCGGGGGACAGCCGAATGCCTCGCGCGCTCTGTCGGCGATCCGGTGCCGCCCCTGGCCCGGTTACGCGCGCCAGGGAGGGGGGTCAGCGTCGATGCGGACCCCGAAAGTTTACGTTTACGTTGTTGTCCTTCTTATGTGACGTCTTTTGTCGGGTCTGCGGCGCATGACGATGCTGCGGCATACCGAAGTTTTTGAGGTCGACTTGCCCGGGATCCATCCCTTCTTCTACGCGTGAAAATTGTGGCAACATTTGCGGCTGCTCTGTGTGCTAGGTAGATGTTCTGTTCGGCCTATTGCAGCAGGAGGCCCCCTGGCCAGCCGTACACGGAAGCCTCAGAGTCAGCATTGTCAAACGTACATGTCTTACAAATTTGGCGATGTGAATCACGCATGATTGGGTCAATCAGGATTTGAAGATGTTCCAACATGGCGTTGTGAATCACGAGCGACTGGATGGAGACAAGAGAACGACATGCATTGCCGATTATTATGATCAAGTTGCCTGCTGACTCTCTGACATCATCGCATTATTCCGAGCTCGATTGTGTTCCTGGTGAGCAGCAGCGACTGCGATGTGAGTTTTTCCCGGAAAGGGCCTGGGCCCAGGGTTCTCTTTTAGTGGGTAAACCTGTCCCCCGGTGCCAACTTGAAGGAGGCCGGCGAATTTTTTCCCTGATAAATAACGAGGTCGAAGGAGGCCGGCGAATTAAAATTTGAGGATGTCTCGAGCGAAACGCTTGTTTTTGAAATCCCGATCGATAAATCACAGGGTGCGGGCCACTTTTTCGTGTGTTGAGGATGTCTCGAGCGAAACGCTTGCTCCGCAGAGTTTGCCGAGGATGTCTCGAGCGAAACGCTTGTTTTGCAGAGCCGACCGCGACGCGGAAAAGCGCCCCGCGCGAAGGAATTTCGATGATGTCTCGACTAATTCGTTTGTTTTTGTACGATTTCCTGGAATTTTGGCAGGATGTCTCGAGCGAAATGCACGACCCTACCCTAGCACGACCATACCCCAGCACGACCACACCCCAGCACGACCAGACCCCAGCACGACCCCACCCCAGCACGACCCCACCCCAGCACGACCATACCCCAGCACGACCACACCCCAGCACGACCCGACCCCAGCACGACCCTACCCCAGCAAGACCACACCCCAGCACGACCACACCCCAGCACGACCTCACCACAGCACGACCACACCCCAGCACGACCACGCCCCAGCACGACCACGCCCCAGCACGACCACGCCCCAGCACGACCACACCCCAGCACGACCACCCCCCCAGCACGACCACCCCCGAGCACGACCACCCCCCAGCACGACCACACCCCAGCACGACCACTCCCCAGCACGACCACACCCCAGCACGACCACACCCCAGCACGACACACCCCAGCACGACCACACCCCAGCACGACCACACCCCAGCACGACCCGATCGATAAATCACAGGGTGCGGAGCACCCCAGCACGAACCCACCCCAGCACGACCCCACCCCAGCACGACCCCACCCCAGCACGACCACGCCCCAGCATGACCCCAGCACGACCATCCCCCAGCACCCCACAGCACGACCCCACCCTAGCACGACCACACCCCAGCACGACCACACCCCAGCACGACCCCACCCCAGCACGACCACACCCCAGCACGACCCCACCCCAGCAAGACCACACCCCAGCACGACCGCACCCCAGCACGACCTTACCACAGCACGACCACACCCCAGCACGACCACGCCCCAGCACGACCGACCACGCCCCAGCACGACCACGCCCCAGCACGACCACGCCCCAGCACGACCACGCCCCAGCACGACCCCCCAGCACGACCACCCCCCCAGCACGACCACCCCCAGCACGACCACCCCCCAGCACGACCACACCCCAGCACGACCACTCCCCAGCACGACCACACCGCCTTGGTTGAGTGGTTGCCTGTCGTCGTGGAATGTTTCGTGGGGTGTCTCGTGGAATGTTTCGCGGGGTGTCTCGTGAAATGTTTCGTGAGGTGTCTCGTGGAATGTTTCGTGAGGTGTCTCGTGGGCTGTTTCGTGAGGTGTCTCGTGGGATGTTTCGTGAGGTGTTGCCCAGTTGGGTATCATGAAAACGTGTCCATGCTCCACATGTCTATATCCCTTTCCGGGTTCGTGGGTCCATCATGTTCAGAATGTGTTGAGGATGTCTCGAGCGAAATGCTGGTTTTGCAGAGTTGGGGATGTCTCGAGCGAAACGCTTGGTTTCAGAATTTGTTGAGGATGTCTCGAGCGAAACGCTGGTTTTGCAGAGCCGACCGCGACACGGAAAAGCGTTCCTCGCGCAGGAATTCTGAGGATGTCTCGCGCGTGCCGCGTCCCGCGCGCAGGAATTTAGATTTCTTGGGATTTTGACAGGATGTCTCGAGCGAAACGCCTGTTTTTCATGATTTGTTGAGGATGTCTCGAGCGAAACGCTGGTTTTGCAGAGTTGGGGGATGTCTCGAGCGAAACGCTTGCTTTTCAGAATTTGTTGAGGATGTCTCGAGCGAAACGCTGGTTTTGCAGAGTTGGGGTATCTAACATGGCGTCGGGCCCAACGCCGAATTATGAGGAAAAGTGATGGCTTCTTGCTCTGAACAGGGGGGTGCGCTTTGGGGGCCTCTCCAGGGAAGACGTTGTGAGGATGTCTCGAGCGGGAGCGCGAATTCAGCGTATCCAAGTCACGCAGAGGGGTATCTAACATGGCTGTCCCGAGCTGGAACCACGTGTTTTTCCCGGAAAGGGCAAAGGCCCAGGGTTCTCTTTTAGTTTGTTTCCCCCCGGTTTTGACGGCTGTAGGGCCGGCGAATTTCTTTTGCGATAAATAACGAGGTCGCGTAGGGCCGGCGAATTAAAAATTGAGGATGTCCCTAGCGAAACGCTTGTTTTTCAGAATTTGTTGAGGATGTCTCGAGCGAGACGCTTGTTTTGTGTTATAGATTGTCCTCTCCTGGGGACCTGAATTCTGAGGATCTCTCAAGTGGATTGCTTGTTTTCACGTGCCCAGGTCTTGAGGATGTCTCGAGCGAGACGTTTGATTTCACGCCTCCAGGTGGCCCAGACAGATGTCTAGCATGAGGATTTGTTGAGGATGTCTCGAACCAGAGGCTTGCTTTCACGTGTCCAGGTCGCCCAGGCGGATGTCTAGCATGAGCATTTGTTGAGGATGTCTCGAGCGACACGCTTGTTTGCGCGTGTCCAGGTTGCCCAGGCGGATGCCTAGCATGAGGATGTGCTGACAACGCCTTGAGCGAAACGCGTGTTTTCACGTGTCCAGGTCGCCCAGGCACAGCACAGCCCTCGGCACGGTACATCAATATCGATACCCTTAGCATTGCAGCCTGGCATGTTGCCTGGCACGTTCCGCGGAGCGTCCCGTGGCGAGTCCCCCTGGCACGTCGCGCGGTGCACGTCCATTGGCACGTTCCGTAGCGCGTCCCCTTGGCACGTCCCGCGATGCGTGCCCATGGCACGTCCCCTGGCACGTCGCCTGGCGCGTCCCTTGGGACGTTCCGCGGCGCGTCCTCTTGGCATGTTCCCTCTGTCGATTAGTTCTGGGGCAGCTACCATCTGCTCAGGCAGCTCGAGCTTACGATCCAGATCAGTTCGGTGAGGACTCCAGGGAGGACTCGATCCACAACGCTAGATAGAGCACAATCGCGGCATGGCACATCGCAGTTCAGCACGGCCCAGCACAGCACAGCCGTCGGCACGGTACATCAAGATCGATACACTCAACTATGCACTTGGCACGTTCCTTGGCGCGTTCCGTGGCGAGTCCACCTGGCACGTCGCGCGGCGCGTCCCCTGGCACGTGCCTCGGCACGTCCATTGGCACCTTCCGTAGCGCGTCCCCTTGGCACGTCCCGCGGTGCGTCCCCATGGCACGTCCCCTGGCACGTCGCCTGGCGCGTCCCTCGGGACGTTCCGCGGCGCGTCCTCCTGGCATGTTCTCTCTGTCGATTAGTTCTGGGGCAGCTACCATCTGCTCAGGCAGCTCGAGCTTACGCTCCAGATCAGTTCGGTGAGGACTCGGATGCCAGGGAGGACTTGATCCACAACGCTATATATATATATATAGAGCACAATCGTGGCATGGCACATCGCAGTTCAGCACGGCGTCGCACAGCACAGCCCTCGGCACAGTACATCATCATCGATACATTCAGCATTGCATGTGCCCGTCGCCCAATCAGGTGTCTTTAAACTGTTGCAATGCCTTACATTTCTATATTCCTTTCCGGGTTCGTGGGTCGATCATGTTTGTCACTACTGGCAGTGATCACTGTTTCTGGTGCGTGCCATTTGAGGAAGTTGTCGCATCCCTCAAGATGCCATCCTGATGAGGCATACTGGAAAGAGTCGGACAGACAGTTCTACGTGTGGGACAAGATCGCGCAGGAAACGCTTGCCTTCCGGGTGTGAGCATTCGCGCGCCACTCAGATTTGCGCGACAGTTGTAGCTCGTAGTGCCAGCACGCTTTGGCAAACTCCTGTTCGGGGGTGTTGCAGACGTCTCCATGAGGAGCTCCCCGAATGTCTGGGTGTGCGTACCCCATCCCCTGCCGGAAGTGGCATCCCCCCTTGGCGTCGCTCACATCGTCCAGACGCAGCGCGGGTATTCGTGGAAACGCTGGGCGCAGCAGGGTCTCAGAGGTTTCTGACGAGTTTGGGGGGAGAAGGCCAGCAGCCCCCGTCTCTGCATCCCGTCGATGCGCTGCAGCTGTCTCACGCTTTGACTCGACGGGACGCACGACGCAAATTTGTAGGCTTGTGAGTTCGGAGGGCGCAGCGTGTGGCTATATAGCATCAAGCTGGGCATGTCCCTCCTGACCATCTGGGAGTACACCCTAGGCGATGCTTAAGAAAACCTAAGTTTTCGACCAGGGTCTCGCTTATTCTTAACGTTTCAATATAAATCTCAAGATTTCAATAGAAATGTTGGGTTTTTCCCGGAAAGGGCCTGGGCCCAGGGTTCTCTTTTAGTGGGTAAACCTGTCCCCCGGTGCCAACTTGAAGGAGGCCGGCGAATTTTTTCCCTGATAAATAACGAGGTCGAAGGAGGCCGGCGAATTAAAATTTGAGGATGTCTCGAGCGAAACGCTTGTTTTTGAAATCCCGATCGATAAATCACAGGGTGCGGGCCACTTTTTCGTGTGTTGAGGATGTCTCGAGCGAAACGCTTGCTCCGCAGAGTTTGCCGAGGATGTCTCGAGCGAAACGCTTGTTTTGCAGAGCCGACCGCGACGCGGAAAAGCGCCCCGCGCGAAGGAATTTCGATGATGTCTCGACTAATTCGTTTGTTTTTGTACGATTTCCTGGAATTTTGGCAGGATGTCTCGAGCGAAATGCACGACCCCACCCTAGCACGACCATACCCCAGCACGACCACACCCCAGCACGACCAGACCCCAGCACGACCCCACCCCAGCACGACCCCACCCCAGCACGACCATACCCCAGCACGACCACACCCCAGCACGACCCGACCCCAGCACGACCCTACCCCAGCAAGACCACACCCCAGCACGACCACACCCCAGCACGACCTCACACCACAGCACGACCACGCACGACCACGCCCCAGCACGACCACGCCCCAGCACGACCACGCCCCAGCACGACCACCCCCAGCACGACCACACCCCCAGCACGACCACCCCCCAGCACGACCACGCCCCAGCACGACCACACCCCAGCACGACCACTCCCCAGCACGACCACACCCCAGCACGACCACACCCCAGCACGACCACACCCCAGCACGACCACACCCCAGCACGACCCCACCCCAGCACGACCCCACCCCAGCACGACCCCACCCTAGCAAGACCACACCCCAGCACGACCACACCCCAGCACGACCTCACCACAGCACGAGCCCCAGCACGACCACGCCCCAGCACGACCACGCCCCAGCACGACCACGCCCCAGCACAACCACCCCCCAGCACGACCACCCCCCCAGCACGACCACCCCCAGCACGACCACCCCCCAGCACGACCACACCCCAGCACGACCACTCCCCAGCACGACCACACCGCCTTGGTTGAGTGGTTGCCTGTCGTCGTGGAATGTTTCGTGGGGTGTCTCGTGGAATGTTTCGCGGGGTGTCTCCTGGAATGTTTCGTGAGGTGTCTCGCGGAATGTTTCGTGAGGTGTCTCGTGGGATGTTTCGTGAGGTGTCTCGTGGGATGTTTCGTGAGGTGTTGCCCCGTTGGGTATCGTGAAAACGTGCCCATGCTCCACATGTCTATATCCCTTTCCGGGTTCGTGGGTCCATCATGTTTATTCAACTTCTGAGACTATGAATTTCTTAACCCATGATTTCTTGAGCATTTCGCAGGGTGTACGTGTTGAGTGCGTGCAGATATTTCTCCCACAGTCCGCCCGTAGGAGGACACGCCCGACCGAAGGCCAGCGAAGAGAGTGCCGGGAGCCCCTCGCCCCTGATATGTCGGGGAGGTCGGGCCGCGGCGCGCCGACGTCGCCACACGGCGCCGCCAGTCCGAGGGGCCAAGGCCCTCGGCATCGCTCGGGCGTGGGCATGTGTTCCTCGAGGATCTCATCGCTTCGATGCTCGTTTTGGGGACCTTCCTGGGGGCCACCTAATGGATCTGTTCGACTCAGGTTCGACTCAAGTTCGACTCAGGTTCGACTCAGGTTCGACTCAGATTCGTCTCAGGTTCGACTCATGTTCGACTCAGGTTCGACTCAGGTTCGACGCAGCTTCGACGCACGAGTGGAGCGAGTGGCTCCAGGAAGGTCCCCAGAATGAGCATCTAACATCGCGGAGCATCTCGGATCGCCTCGCGGGACAAACATGGCCGCACGCCATCGAACAGTGCATTGGGAACGGACGTCCGAGCGATGGCGAGGGCCAGCTCCCTGTTCGCAGCGACGATTCGACTCACGAGGGACGGAACTCTCAACAACACCCGATATGTTCCGTCGCGGCGACCAACCTTCGGAACTTCCCTCTGGTAGCGGAATGTCCATCGGAAGATTGTCGTTATCGTTGAATCGTTTGGCTTCGGTGCAGTCAACGCGCCCAGTAAGGACGCGCGCCGTGATCCAGGGTGCCCTTCTATCCTTGCCTCTGCGGCCCGTCCTTCGCCGTTTTCACTGGCCGCCCGTCGTCCGAACGTTCCAACTTCGGCCTCCAAGGGTCTTGCGTCCTTAATCTCTGCGTCTTGGCGCTGTGTGCCGTCCCCTGGCGGCCGGCAGTGTATGTCGTCGCGATCTGTTGTGCCCCCACCGCCTGTAGAGTCTTGGTCTGAAGCGCCCGGGCGTCGGGGTCCAGCAGCTCTCGCTGATCATCGGGCGCGCGTTAGCCCACTGCCCAGTGTGTGTGTGTGTTACCCCACTCGGCTATTACGATGCCCCCGTGTCGAAGGGGTACCCTGGGCCACCACACGTTGGCGCTAACGTCGGAGCAGAGCCAGTTGAGACAACGGCGTCTCTCCCGCACGGCCCACATCCGCTCACGAGCATTCCTCGGGCTCCCCCCAGGGTCCCTGGCAATCGCTTGGACGTGTGCATTGTGTCTCGGCGAGAACCATCATCGAGGGGCATCTAGGACCATCGAGCCAACAAAACACGTACGGAACCAGAAAATGCACGGAGAAGGGTCGTCCGAGCGTTGGCGAGGGGAAGCCCCCGGGAAGCCCACAGAGCACCAGGTTAGGGCCGCCATTGCCCCGACTGCCCCTTTCGTGGCAACTCACGTGGGCCTCCCATGTCATTGTCATTGCTCTTGCGAGTCGACGCTAGCCAACGCTGATCCACGCTGAGCGACGCCAAATCGGTGCTAATCGACGCTGACATACAAGGCTCCCAAGGCGGCCCCTCCATCGTCAATCATGAAAGCACTAATCGACGCTAAACGACGCCAAATCGATGCTCATCGACGCTGACATACAAGGCTCCCAAGACGGCTCCTTCCTCGTCAATAATAAAAGCGCTAATCGACGCACGACGCCAAACCGATGCTCATCGACGCTGACACTCGAGGCGGATCCAGCTGTGGCAACTCGTGGAGGTTCAAATCGATGCCACATCGGCGCTACGTCTGAGGACTCTTACGAGTCGGCGCTAGATCGACGCTAATCGTCGCTAAGCCGACGCTGACTTCTGAGACTCGGCGCTGAATCGACGCTGCTCGACGCTAGATCGACGCCTTCCTCGACTTGCCCCCCCTCCCATCCGAGGATCGTGGAACCTCGGGGGAGGAGGAGTAAGAGAAGAGGAGTGAAAAGGAGGGACGAGTAGGAGAGGAGGAGCGAAGAGCAGGGAGGAGGAGGAGGAGGGGGAGGAGGAGGAGGAGGGAGAGGCAGGAGGAGGAGACAGGAAGAGGGAGTGCTCTGGGGACTCCCGCGAGGCGGCGCTGAGGTCTGCTGGGCCGAGCGCCGCCGCGAGGCCTTGGCCCCCAAGGAGACTTGCTTAGAATGCCAGAGTAGATTCTCGGGCTCCGATGTCTTCGAGAGCCCTCGGTCTTGGCGTCGCTCGGACTACTCTGTAAGAACGGTTTTTCCCGGAAAGGGCAAAGGCCCAGGGTTCTCTTTTAGTATGTAAACAATGTCCCCCCGTGCCCAACTTGAAGGAGGCCGGCGGATTCTTTCCCTGATGAATATCGAGGTCGAAGGAGGCCGGCGGATTAAAATTTGAGGATGTCTCAGGCGAAACGCTTGTTTTTGAAATCCCGATCGATAAATCACAGGGTGCGGGCCACTTTTTCGTGCGTTGAGGATGTCTCGAGCGAAACGCTTGCTCCGCAGAGTTTGCTGAGGATGTCTCGAGCGAAACGCTTGTTTTGTTACGTATGTGCCTATCGATTCGCCCTCTCCAGGGGGACGAATCCGTGTGTTTTTACGTAATGAAAACACGTGGGCCCATTTCGCCCCAGCGTGGAACAAGCGTGAAAACACGTGGGTCCCTTTCGCCCCTGAGCGGAACAAACGTGAAAATACGTGGGTCCCTTTCGCCTCAGAGCGGAACAAGCGTGAAAACACGTGGGGAGGAAGAGGGGGAGGAGGAGGAGGAGGATAAGTAGGAGGAGGGCAAGGTGGAGGAGGAGGAGGAGGAGGAGGCCCAGGCCCACTCGAAAGCCCGTTTTTTGTTGATCCGTTCGGGCCAGCCGCTCTCCGTTTGATGTTTTTCCTTTTCCGCGGGGCTTTGCGCCCCCCAGGGTCGGCTCCAATCCTCGCTCTCTTCCTGCTCGGCATTGCACCCCCAGGGTCAGCCGACCTCCCCGTTCGAATCTCCTCCTCTCCGCGCGGCGCAGGCTTGGGCATTGCACCCCCAGGGTCAGCCCTCGCCCCCGCGTCTTTTGCCCGGCTCTGCCGCTCCTGCCCGGCGCCGGCGCCCCGCAGCTGGCGTTCTGCACAGCCGGTCTTCGGGGTTTATAGGGGCGCCCCGCCTTCCCCTCCCCCGAGGCGCTCGGTGTCACAGGGGTGCTAAGACCCAGCACGACCACACCTCAGCACGACCACACCCCAGCACGACCCCACCCCAGCACGACCACACCCCAGCACGACCACACCCCAGCACGACAAGCACGACCACACCCCGACACTACCCCACCCCAGCACGACCCCGCCCCAGCACGACCACACCCCAGCACGACCACACCCCAGCACGACCCCACCCCAGCACGGCCCCACCCCAGCAAGACCACACCCCAGCACGACCACACCCCAGCACGACCTCACCACAGCACGACCACACCCCAGCACGATCACGCCCCAGCACGACCACGCCCCAGCACGACCACTCCCCAGCACGACCACCTCCCAGCGACGACGACGACGACGACGACGACGACGACGACGACGACGACGACGACGACGACGACGACGACGACGACTACGAGGGGGATCCGCCCAGGGGGCGGCGACAGGCAACCACTCAACCGATGCAGCCACGAACTCCCTGTGTGTTTGATGAGTGGCGCCCGTACCGTTGCGTGCGTTACGCGTCTCCTCGTGGTTGTCCTGGTTGAGTGGTTGCCTGTCGTTGCTCGCGGTGCTAAATCACAGGGTGCGGACCACCCCAGCACGACCTCACCACAGCACGACCACACCCCAGCACGACCACGCCCCAGCACGACCACGCCCCAGCACGACCACGCCCCAGCACGACCACCCCCAGCACGACCACCCCCCCAGCACGACCACACCCCAGCAAGACCACACCCCAGCACGACCACACCCAGTCGCACCCCCGTGGAATGTTTCGTGGGGTGTCTCGTGGAATGTTTCGTGGGGTGTCTCGTGGAATGTTTCGTGGGGTGTCTCGTGGAATGTTTCGCGGGGTGTCTCGTGGAACGTTTCGCGAGGTGTCTCGTGGAATGTTTCGCGAGGTGTCTCGTGGGATGTTTCGCGGGGTGTCTCGTGGGATGTTTTGTGAGGTGTCGCCCAGTTGGGTATCGTGAAAACGTGACCATGCTGCGCATGTCTATATCCCTTTCCGGGTTCGTGGGTCCATCATGTTTGAAGGCAGATCTGCCTTCAAAAAACCGTTCTTACAGAGTAGACCAGTCGTTCCCCCGGCGAGGACCATCGAGGAGCATCTGGCATCATCTTGCGAGTGAGAGGCGCACGAAGCCAAAAGTAGCACGGGGAATGGGCTTCCAAGCGATGGCAGGTGTGGCCCAAGTCTCCGTTTCTCGGCGGCGCGCCCAGGGGGGACGTGAGTAGGAGCAGGCCTTCTCTGTAGGCGGCGGGGCTTCCTCAGAAGCCCCTCGGCATTCTGAGAAGTTGTTTGCGTCTTCGGGGAAGGCTCGGGAAATTTCTCAGAAGGCCCGAGGCCTTCCGAGCCTTCCGAGACTGCCCGTCCCCCCTAAGCTCGCCGCCGAAATTCGCCAGATGGTACCTCGCGCGCTGCTTCCGCCGCTCCCCACCCCATTTACCGAGACGCGTTCCATTACCTGGAAAGTGCTGATCTGCAAACATCCGAAAAAAGAGGATTGCCCCGATGTGATAGACCGTAGATCCCCCATGGCGAATCCAGGCCGATTGCGAGTAATGACTTCGCGAGCAGTGGAACGCGCTTGGCTGCCGTTTGGTGGGGGCGGGGGCGGCGAGCGGGCGGCCACGGCGCGGCGCGCAGGAGCGCGTGCGCCTGCACGAGTCCGAGGCGCAGAACGTGTCGCTGGCGGTGGGGTCTAACTGCCACGAGCACGCCGCCCAGGCCGCCGCCGACCTGCTCCGACGAAACTGGGGCGGGCCTTGGGCGTCGTCGTCGTCGTCGTCGTCGTCGTCGTCGTCGTCGTCGCCGTCGTCGTCGTCGTCGTCGTCGTCGTGCGTCGTGCGTCGTGCGTCGTCGTCGTGCGCCGTGCGTCGTTCGTCGTCGTGCGTCGTCGTTCGTCGTGCGTCGTCGTCGTCGTGCGTCGTCGTCGTCGTGCGTCGTCGTGCGTCGTGCGTCGTGCGTCGTCGTCGTGCGCCGTCGACGATCACGCCAGGCGGGGATCAAAGACAACGGGATCGACTGCGCTGGCACAGGCGCGTAAGCCGCCCGCGTGAGGTCGCGCGAAAGCGCCCTCGTCTCCAATGTGGCGTGCCGCACTGGCGGCCCGCGTGGGCCACCGCGAAGGGACACCATGTCATCTCGCGCAAGACCTCTGTTTGTGGTCGTCGCTCAGACGAGGAAGGGGCACTCCGGATTCCACACTAGACAGGAAGGGGGTCAGATTTGGGTACGGTAGGTTTGCGTCGTGTCGACCAGCGGCGACCCCAGCGCGGGCGTTCAAGGTTGAACGCCGCCGGCGACCCAGAATCGATCGATGTTGAACGATCGGACGTTGCGGCAGCGGCCGATCGTTCAAGGTTGAACGATCCCTGCGGTGT